TGCTTAAACAAATTTTTTTTGTTTTTTTCGGTTTTTTGGGCCATTTTTTTTTTAATTCTTAAAAATTTTTTTTTTTTTTTCTCTATAAATACCTAAACCATTCATTAAATTTAAGTTATAGTTTTATTGGTTTTTTGGGCCAGTTACTGTTGTAGTTTTTAAATTTAAATAATAAATTATGTTTGGCCCTCAGTTGGAGACGGTTTTTTGTGACAAGGCTAAAACGAGCCCTACGGCTCTTTGGTCCTCGGTTGGAGGCGGAGGCAAATATGGCCTTGTACTGTTCATTAAAATATTAATATCTTAGAGGCCCAGAGGGTTAAAACGAGCCCTTTGGCCAGCCCTCGTTTGGAGATGGCCTTACTAGTCTTCGCCGACCGAGACTACTTTTTCCACGGCCCTCCATCGGGTCTTTAATCAAAACAATATTATTAATTTATTAATTTCAACGTTTAGCAAATGAAAAAATATTGTAAAAATGTTACTCGGTATCACATATTTGCAACATCTTTCTAGAGATAAGATTCGCATGCGTTGACAGACTCTATCTTTATTAGAGATATTGTACAAATGATGATGCAAATAAGTGGTAAGTGTATCATTACTAAAAAATGTAGTGCTATCTACACATTCATTTTTATTTGACTAAATTGGATTAATGTCTATGTGGTGATATGGTAATCGGAAGATAGCCTTCATGATGAAAAAATTCAGATTTAAACCCTCGTGGTAAAGTCCATTAGAATTCAAGTCCAAAAGTAACATTTCCGTCCACTCTCCGTTCACCCATCCAACTTCATAACCAAAAGGGGAAAAAAAAAACTCATTCATCCAAGGTTATGAATTCACAATCTGAAAAAATCAAATCCCTACTACTTTCCTAAATTCCAAACATATGACCAATTAATTCCGCGAGGAGAGATGTTATTGTAGAACTAGCTGACATTAAGAAGATAACCACGATGCTTCCCACGTAGAAGAGTTGGTTGCCTAATAAGTTGATTGCCTGATGCAATATTGTGCCAAATTGATACATAAGTTCCTGCGTTCTCTTTGCAATAGCTGCTTCCCTACATGCTGAAGAAACCTGGACGGCGAAATGGATAGTCTCGAGAGGAGATAGAGGAAGAGGAGGGAGCCCATGAAGGCGAGGATTATGGATGTGGTTTGGAGGAGCAGCATGGTGGTGGCTTTATAAATTTGGTGGATTATCTTCTGAACATCTTATCACTACGGGAATTATTAATCCAATTTAGTTTTTTATTTTTCATACATTTTTTTTGTTAATTTATGTTTTTTTATCTTATTCAATTCATTCGATCTGACAATCAAAAATTAAGAAACTTGTATAAAAAAATAAAAATGGGTGTTTACCACCTAAAAACCCCATGCATGGAGTGAAGGTAGCCACATATTAAGTCTTGAAAGAATCTTTGTAAGTTTCCTAGCTCTTTCCCACTAAAGCAGAGAGAGAGAGAGAGAGAGAGAGAGAGGCCTCTTCGGGCTTGAATTTCAAAATCTTGATAACTGATAAGCTCTCAATATATATACACAGGCACAGCTAAGACTTCTCTCTCTCTAAACTACTGTCCACTAAACCAAGCCGGGGAAGAGTAGCAGTGTCGCTGTGTAATTAGCTCCAGTTGGTTCGGTGCTGGAAATCTGTAAGTAATATTTCTATAAATACATTATATCAATCCATGAATTCTTCTCCAGTTCTCCTTGTTCTTTTCTTTTTATTTGGTCTGCTGGCTCTCTTTTTCTTCTTTTAGTTTACGGAAAAAATGATAAAACTCTCCCTCTAATGTTTGTTGGTCCAACAAAATTTCCATGCGTATATTCTTAGAGTTCAAGCTTTCGTTTATCAAAATTAATAATAATGATCTTAAACAAAAAAAATTACCTGCATGATAATTTTTTTCGAACAAAACAAAACAAATATTATCATGCAAGTATGTTAGATCGCTATTTTTCCTTGCATAATTTCCGTACACTCATTATTATCTTCATGTTTTTTGTAATCCAGTACCTTGAATAATCATATATATGTGTGTGTGTGTGTGTATTACTTGAATACATATTTAGTTTTTCCTTTTTACTTGTCAATCTTGTACGTACCATTACATGGCTTAATTAGCAGCATAACAGATTCACCATGCCAGTCTTGTTGTAAACTATAACTTGTAAGAATAATAGGCAAAGGATGACCAATGGTTCTGGACCAAAAGGAGGACTAGGATCCGGATCCTTCTTCTTCTTCTTCTTCCTTCTTCATCTCTGCAGTTTTGCTTCTGCTTTGACTTCTTCTTCAACTCTTCTTCTTCAAATCTGCTTCTTCTTCACTTTTTCTGTTTGTTTCTCTAGAAACTTCTACACACTCTTTTTTAGAACAAGAAGCTGGAGTATCTGATCAACCACTACCACGAAGTTGCCGATTACCGGCTCCGGTGAAGCCCGACTCCGGGGAACTCAGGCTTTAAAAGGATCTGGAGGATCCGGATGGATGAGATCCGGAGAGGATCCAACCTTGCTGTGTTATTTGATTCTAATGGCTCTGTCTGTGCAAGGAGATTCTCCCTTTAATGGAGTCTTTTCTTTTCTATCAAAAAAAAAAAAAAAAGACTCGCTCCGGTTTTAACTGCTCATTTTCAATGGATTTTAGTGAATAAACAATTTTTTATTTCAAAAAGTAATAAAATAAAAAAGACCCCCACCATTGCGAATAGGGCCCGACATGTGTTTTTAGTGCCGGACAGATGACTGGCTCTTTCCATAACATTTTGGTACTTCGTCAGCCTAACGTAGGGGAGTGACGTATAACGGTACAAAAGAGCGAACCAATTGTGTTTGTCTTTTATTTTTCTTTTCTATATTTTAGTTAAATTGATCTATGAAATTGTTATAATTCCTTACTTTAGCCTTTAACAATGAAAATTGATAAAAATGATCCTAAATTTGTCTACCGTAAATTATTTTGATCATTCTAAGAAAATAAGTCAACATATATTCTTATTAAATTGTCACGCGAATAGCTACGTGATCATCTTTTTAAAGATATTTTTGTCAAATCAATTATTCTATGAAAATAAGTCAACATATAATCTTATCAAATTGCCATGTGAATAGCTACGTGATCATCTTTTTAAATATATTTTTATCAAATCAATCAATTCACTTAATAAAGATATTGACAGATTTTTCACATAAGGGTAAAACAATTTACGGTGGACAAACTCATGGATCACTTCTATCGGTTTTCATTGTCAAGAACCAAAATAAAGAGTTATATCAATCTTGGTGTCTATTTTGGCTGAAAAAACCTTTCTTTCCTAAATGACCAATATACTACATCTGAATTTCTGAAAGAAATACACTAAAACTTGTTTTCTTAAATAAAATTAAAATTGTTGCTTAGTACTACAACTTAATTAATGGCACTTTTAAGTAAGAAATCTTGAGTTCAAATATTATGGATGACGAGTTCGATATATTCTATCTCATCTTAATGTAAATACATGGTTGTATTAAAAAATTGACATTATGGGTTATCTCACTCTACTAGTGTAAATCAAATCACTTATTATTGGTTATCTCGCTATTTAACTTGTAGTTAATGCTTTAGAAACATCCTACATTATAAATTACTTGCTAATTCAGGTTTTTCTGTGTAGATATAATAATTACAGGCGTTTACGTTACTTCCACAAGTTCAATTAGGAAAAATGTCTAGTCCACGAGCACAAAGTATACCAGCTCCAACTGGGATTCAAATGGCGGCAGTAAATGGCGCTCCGGTTGCTGAAAATGTCGTCATTGGCATTCCCGCTTCTACAGAACCCATTCATCAACCGAACCATCCTTCACGTCATCTACTAGAAAATACCAATAGTACGTGCGATCTTCCTCTTTAATGCGCATCCCATGCATATATGATTCTTTTTTTTTCTCTTATGAAGAGATGCAAGTATGATATGTGTGTGTGTGTGTCTATATATATATATGAGTGATAGTTTACATATATTATCCCGGAAATATGGCACAAGCACAACCATTGTATTTGCATGTTGGTTAATTAAAGTGGCAAAAAAGTCAGCAAAATTATTTGAACTGCTATTTAAAGAGTCATCAAAGTGTTCATAAGAATTGCTTATAGTTTGTTTTAGTTGTTTTGTAGTTTGTTAGTTTGGTTAAGGGCATAAGTGTAATCTGTTAGAATGCCCACAATATATATATCAGACTTTGTGTAATTATCGTATTGTATTGAATGAAAGGAAGATTCACTTTCTATATGGTATCACGACCGTCTCGCCTCACGGCCTTCTCTCTCTCGATCCTCTTCGCTTTCGCTCTCAATTTCTGATCTTTCTCTCTGAATTTTGTTGTGATTCTTCATTGTTCTTCTTCGATTGTTGCTTCGATCTTGTTGTTTGGTGTCTTTCTCGCTGCAATCAGCCATGGCGACTCCGTCCAATTCGTCTTCTCCCCTTGAGTCGGTGCAAGCTCCAAACCCTAATTCGTCAAATTCTGCCATGTCTTCGTCTTCATATGCTTCTCTGACGATCCAAAACATTGGAAGTATGGTGCCAATTAAACTCAAACGCTCCAATTATCTCCCCTGGCGTGCATTATTTGCTCCAATTCTGCGCAGGTATAAGCTCCTTGGCATCATTGAAGGTACTGAGGTCTATCCATCACCTCTTCTTTCTAATCGATCTATCAATCCCGACTTTGACATTTGGAATGAGAAAGATCAGAATCTTCTCATCTGGTTGAATTCTACTCTGTCTGAAGAAGTGATTCCTTTCACTGTTGGTGTCTCGTCGTCTCGGGATCTATGGATCAAGCTTGAGCAGCGCTTTGGAGGAGTCTCTGATGCTCACATTCATCAGTTACGATCTCGTCTCCAATCCATTCAGAAAGGTTCACAGTCAATTTCTGATTATCTTCAACAAATCAAGGAAATCTCTGATGCCTTGATGGCGGCTGGTGCTCCTGTCACAGATCGTGACCTAATTGCGGCCACACTGGCTGGCTTACCTGATGAGTTTGAATCTTTTACTGATTATCTTCTTCTTCGTCTTTCCCATACAACTCTGGATGAATTGCATGGCTTACTGCTCACCAAGGAATTATCAATGACTAGAAGGAAGAAAGCTGCTTCCTCTAACACCACAGAGCCTTTCCATGCCTTTGCTGCTCACTCGCTGCCTCCTCTTTTGCCTACACCGCCACCGCACCAAGCTTTTGCTGTTCAATCTCAGTCTTCTCGCGGTCATTACCGTGGTAGTCATCGTGGAAACTATAGAGGCAATGCTCGTGGACATCGTGGCACTTATAAAGGTACAAATTTTCGTGGCAATTATCAAGGCTTTCGTGGCAACTCTCAAGGCTTTCGTGGTAACTCTCAAGGCTCTCATGGTATCCAGTGTCAAATCTGTGGATCAAACAGTCATGAGGCTATTGACTGTTTTGATCGAATGAACCCTGATATATTTGGCAAAGTTCCTCCTGCTAAACTTGCTGCTATGTGTGCACAATTTTCATCAAAGCCCACTCCTTCTTGGCTTATTGATTCGGGTGCAACTTCTCACATTACAAATGACATCTCTAACATTTCATCTCCTACTCCTTACCGTGGTGAAGACAAGGTCTACATTGGTGATGGTAAAGGTTTGCCAATTACCAATGTTGGTTCTTCTTTTTTACATACACCCTCTGCTACCTTTACACTGCAAAATGTTCTTCATGTACCACAAATGCAGCACAATTTACTATCTGCATATCAATTTCTCAAAGATAATTACTGTTCTTTGACTCTTAATTCTGATGGATCCTTTGTAAATGATCGTTCTACGGGGAAGACGCTTTTGCGGGGACCAGTTAAAGATGGTTTTTATCCCCTGCAATGTACATCTCAGTCATCTCATCGCTCTGCTACTTCACCTACTGCCTTAATAAGTGTCAAAGCACCGATTTCAGTTTGGCACAGTCGACTTGGTCATCCTTCTTCATCAATATTCAGGCGTGTTCTCTCAACAAATAAGCTTGCTCTCACAGGAAAGACTTCAGTGGATTTCTTTTGTTCTAACTGTGCTCTTGCAAAAAGTCACAAGCAGCCGTTCAGTTCTGTTAGTTCTACTTCTTCTTCTTGTTTAGACCTTTTACATTGTGATCTCTGGGGTCCAGCTCCTGTTATGTCAGTGAGTGGATCTAGATACTATCTGTTGATTGTAGATGACTATAGTAAATATAGTTGGTTCTTTCCTTTACAATCCAAATCTGCAGTGTATTCTGTATTGGTTCAGTTCAAGAGTTATGTAGAAAACCTTCTTGGCAATAAAATCAAAGTGTTTCGTTCAGATTCAGGGGGTGAATTTACTAGCACTGCACTACAGAATTTTTTCAAAACTCATGGTATTATACATCAATTCAGTTGTCCGCATACACCTGAACAGAATGGTTGTGCAGAACGAAAACATCGTCATCTGGTCGAGACTGCTCGCACACTTTTGGTTGCTTCTAATGTGCCTCATGTTTTCTGGGTAGAGGCCTTTTCCACTGCTATATACTTGATTAATCGCCTTCCAATTTCTGGCATGATGCAGTCTCCATGGGAATTATTATTTCATACTTTTCCTGATTATGGTCGGCTGAAGGTCTTTGGTTGTAGCTGTTTTCCATGGCTTAAGCCTTATACAACTTCCAAACTGGACAGCAAAAGTAAGTATTGTGTGTTCTTGGGGTATAGTCTTCAACATAAGGGATATCGGTGCTTGGATCCATTGACACAGAGGATCTATATATCTCGTCATGTTATTTTTGATGAATCTACATTCCCATTTCATCACTCTCACCCATTGTCCCCGAGTGCTTCTCAATTTAATACTGCATCTCCAGTTGTGTCTTCAGTTGATTTGCAGTTCACTGTCCCTCATTCTTCCCGATCCTGCATTACTAGTGCCTCAATTACTGTCCCACCTACTGCTCATATTGACTCACATGCTGCTCCTGTTGCTTCACATGCTGATTCTATTGCTTCACCTGCTGCTCCTGTTACTTCACATGATCTACTGGCTGCCACTATTGATTCACATGATCCTACTGTTGATTCCATTGGTCTTCCCATCTCGGTTCCTTCTGTCGCTTCTCCTGTGCCCAATACTCATCCTATGCTTACTCGGTCAAAAGCAGGGATCTTCAAACCCAAGGCCTTCTCGGCCACCAAGCATCCTCTTCCCTCTTCTATTGATTTTGTCCCATCTACTTATTTGCAAGCTTCCAAGCATGCTCACTGGAGAACTGCTATGCAAGAAGAGTTTAATGCATTGCAATCTACAGGGACATGGGTTCTTGTCCCCTCTTCTCCTCTTCACAATGTTGTTGGTTGTAAATGGGTCTTTCGGATTAAGAAACATCCTGATGGTTCTGTTGATCGCTATAAGGCTTGCCTTGTTGCCAAAGGCTTTCACCAACAAGCAGGCATCGATTATAAAGAAACTTTCAGTCCTGTAGCCAAGCCTGTTACCATTCGTATCCTGTTGTCTTTTGCTGCTCAGTTTCACTGGTTTTTAAATCAGTTAGACATTAGTAATGCCTTCTTGCATGGGGATTTACAAGAAGATGTTTTTATGCAGCAGCCTCCTGGCTTTACTGATCCCTCTTTTCCACATCATGTCTGCAAGCTTAAAAAGTCCCTTTATGGTCTTAAACAGGCTCCAAGGGCTTGGTTTGACAAGTTATTTCAGGTGTTGAGATCTTTTGGTTTTCAACAGTCTTCTTCTGATGCCTCTTTGTTTGTCTTACGAGCTCCCACCTTGGTGATCATCCTTGTATATGTTGATGACATTTTGGTAACTGGTCCTAATGCTACACTCTGTCAGCATTTTATCAACAAACTGAGCACTGTTTTTCCTGTCAAAGATCTAGGCTCATTGCATTATTTTTTGGGACTTGAAGTGCACCAGTCTCCTGAAGGTATATTCTTACACCAAGGCAAATATTTACTTGACCTTCTTCAGAAGACTAAAATGGATGGCGCTAAACCCTGTTCCACTCCCTTAGGCACGGCCAAACTTGATCATACTAGTTCTCTCTTGTCTAATCCCACAGAGTATCGATCCTTAGTTGGTGCATTGCAATATCTTACCTGGACTCGGCCAGATATATCTTTTGCTGTGAATCAAGTATGTCAATTCATGCATGCTCCGAGGGATTCCCATCTTCAAGCTGCTAAAAGAATTCTCTGATTTTTAAAAGGTACTCTCACTCATGGCTTATGGTTTAAACCCGGAAATCTGCACCTTACAGCATACTCTGATGCTGATTGGGCAGGGTGCACCTTTGACAGAAGGTCCACCAGTGGCTATTGCATCTTCCTTGGTTCTAATTTGATTAGTTGGAGTGCCAAGAAACAGCCAACGGTTGCCCGATCCTCTACTGAAGCTGAGTACAGGTCTTTGGCTCACACTTCGGCTGAAATAACCTGGATCTGTAAAGTTTTCCGAGATATTGGTTTTCAACTACCTCAGATTCCTCATCTCTGGTGTGATAATATCTCTGCAATATCTTTAGCTTCTAATCCAGTTTTTCATGCCCGGACTAAACACGTTGAAATTGACTATCATTACATCCGTGAGCTGGTTCTTGCCCATCTCATCAAGGTTCAATATGTTTGTGGTCAAGATCAATTGGCCGACATTCATACTAAGTCTCTGTCTCGGCAACGATTCCTCTATCTTCAGTCCAAGCTTTCTCTTGGTTCTTTTGATGCTTCCAAGTTCAGCTTGAGGGGGTGTAAAGAGTCATCAAAGTGTTCATAAGAATTGCTTATAGTTTGTTTTAGTTGTTTTGTAGTTTGTTAGTTTGGTTAAGGGCATAAGTGTAATCTGTTAGAATGCCCACAATATATATATCAGACTTTGTGTAATTATCGTATTGTATTGAATGAAAGGAAGATTCACTTTCTATACTATTATCTAATAATACAGAGTTTGTAAGATACAGGCAGTAGCATGAGATCGTAGACACTGATTGAAAGTGTGAAGATCAAGATATGGACTAAATGTCACCATGCTACGTTAACAAAGAATAATACCTTAACTATAGTATGCCATCCGTAAACTTAAGAGTATATTAGTTTTGATAATAATTGTGTCCACCACATGCGTGCATCTAATATTTTGTTCACTTGTGATTAATGTATTTCACTGTACAAACACAATAATAAAAAAAGTTTATTTTCCTCATCATCATTAAAATATCTTTGTAAAAAAGAAAAAAGATCAATCAAAATTTGGAGTTTGTTTTTCTACATTCATATGTATTGAACAGATCGGCCGGTTTGAATACTAGTAACCTCCTAATTAGAATGATAAATTGTCTATTTATTTGATATAAAGTGGATTTTTAGATGATGCGAAAGAAAATAGTTATAATTATAGCATTTATACTGCCAAAATAAGCTAAAAAACCAAGTGAAAGATTCAAGCGCGCAAACACACACACACATTACATTCAACAAATTAGTCATATGCTCAATCTAACTTCACCTCTCTTGCATCCAACACAGGAGATTCCTACTTGAACTTGTGTATGCCCCTCTATAAAGCTGCAATGAAAGGCGACTGGGATACCACCAAGGACATCTTAAATATCAACCGGGCACTCTTAACCGCTAGTATAACAAAAGGATGGGAAACTGTTCTTCACGTTGCAGCTGGAGTAAAGGACAATATTCACTTTGTGGGGGAACTAGTCCAAATGATGGATGAAGAAGACTTGGCACTTCAAGACATTAAAGGAAATACGGCACTGAGCTTAGCTGCTGCAACTGGAACCCTAGAAATTGCCGAGATTTTGATACGAAAAAATAGGTCCTTGCCAACAATTCCAGGTGGTAAAGGAATGACACCACTCTATGTGGCTGCTTTGTTTGGACAGTCTAAAATGGCGTGGTATTTATACGATAAAACATATGAAACGTTGAATGAAAAGAGCCGCAGATTTCTATTCTTCTGTTGCATCGATCATGATCTTTATGGTAAATACTTGGAACTTGTTAAACATTAAACACATCTTTATTTCTTGACTACTCTTGTTTTTAAAAATTGTTTGCACTCTTTCCAGCCCCCCCTCTTCTTTTAATCTTTGTATATTGTGCAGATGTAGCCCTGAAGTTGCTAGAAGATGATACTACATTAGCAACGGCCCGCAAAGGCGACGGTGGAACGGCCTTGCATGTCATAGCTCGAAAGTCTTTAGAATTTGGTGACCAAAGTACCCCTGGAATGTGTAGAAGACTTATGAACACATGTGAGTTAACTCTTCTTAAAATTATGATATCAAAATGTGATGAATTATATAAAAACAAACTTTACGTACTATCGTATTTGATCATCCCACATTAGTATGAAAATTGCATGTCCTTATGAATATCAACCTTGTTGTTTATGTTGTAACCATTTTAATTTGCAGTGAAAGTACTCCTAGGCATAAAGTTTTCTTACAAAAGAAACTTGAAGCAAACTGAAGCCTTGAAACTAGTCGAATGCCTTTGGAAAGAAATGTTGAAACATGACGATGATGAAGTCATGCGTCTGATAGGAGAACCTTCAGAATTACTATTTGATGCAGTGAAATTAGGAAATTATGAGTTCTTGTCCGTTCTTATTGACTTTTATCCGGAGTTGCTATCAGAATGTGACGACAACAATCAGACTATATTCCATATTGCAGTCTTGCATCGCCATGCATGTATCTTCAATCTAGTGCACGAGACAGGCTCCATCAAAGATATCATAGCAACATATACTGACAATGAGAATAACAACATTCTACATCTAGCAGCAAAATTGGCACCTCAAGACCAACTCAATCTTGTGTCTGGAGCGGCTCTTCAAATGCAGCGAGAATTAGTATGGTTTGAGGTATGATTAAATATTATTTTATAATCAACTTTAATCGCCTAAAAATTATTTGCATTCTTTAATTTCATTAATGATCATTGATGTGACAGGAAGTCGAGAAGATAGTGCAACCTCCCTTCATAGACATGAAAAATAACCAAGGCACAACACCTCGAGAATTATTCACTAGCGAGCATGAGGATCTATTGCACAAAGGAGAATCATGGATGAAGAGCACTGCAAATTCGTGCATGCTTGTTTCAACTATTATCGCCACTGTCGTGTTTTCAGCTGCATTTAGCATTCCGGGGGGTATATCTGATAATAAACGAACACCGAATTTCGTAAAAGAGACAGCATTTCTAATCTTCATCATATCTGATGGAGTAGCACTCTTTTCCTCATCAACTGCAATCCTCATGTTCTTGTACATCCTTACATCACGGTATGCTGAAAACGATTTTCTCAAATCCTTACCGTTGAAGTTGATGATCGGACTCACTTCACTCTTCATATCTATAACATCGATGATGGTAGCTTTCAGCACAGCCTTCTATTTATCTTGTCACTACGAATTGAGATGGGTTCCGGATCTTATATTTATATTTGCATTCGTCCCTGTTGCCTTGTTCGCTTTCTTGCAGTATCCTCTCCTGTCTGACATATTCTTTTCAACATATTGTTCAAGTCTTCTGTTTCAGCCAAGGAGGGATTTGATTTACTGGAAAGTCAAGGCCTAATTTGTAGAACCCTCTAACTGATACCTTGCCTCCACAATGATGTGTATATATGTATATGATGATTGCTCAAAATTGCATGTCCAATGCGCTTTGGTTATACCATTAAATGTTTTTCTTGAGTAATTTATTAAATTTGTGTTTTATTATGTATAACTGATCAAATAGATTTTATATCTAATTTATTTAATTTTTGACTTACTTATATTAATTTTAATGTGCATGACCATTAGAATGATGGAAGGCAATTAAAGGATGAGGCGCAAAATAATAAATTGGCGATTAAGCCTTTGTTGGATACGGAAAGGAAATGAAACAAAGAAAGACAAAATATACGGCTGGAGTTATGCTTGACATTAATATATCAATAATGGATTAATCAATGAGCATTATTCAAGAAGGATATAAAGAGAAGTTTTGCTGCGGCTGCAGCTAAACCATACCCATTTTATTGTTATTCTACAATGAAAGTCACTTTTCAAGTAGATTCATATGGAGAAAACTTAACTACTATATTTTCCGGTTAAGAGCACTCATTGTTTGTATCTCAGTTGAGTTATAAAAAAGAATCGAAATAGTAAAAATTGTATTTTAGTTGAGTTATAAAAAAGAATCAAAATGGTAAAAATTGTATAGTTGTATGTGGGTGGAACCCTGATGCTTTTATGTTTTTAATTGTTAAATTTTTCTTCTATAAGTTACATCTCATTTGGTTTTTTCTTTGTTTCAATTTTGATAAATTCTATATTGTTTTTCAAGGCTCTCTAAGAAATACGACACTTAGACTTAGAGTTTATACTGCTATGCGACACCTGCAGTAGGATTTAGCAAGCAATTCTTAGCGCCATTGCTAAGGGAGCGACTTGGCGAGGAGAGGATAATTTTTCTCCACCTGGTACACTCTTTCCATTTATTTGTATTTTGCGTAGTTGTTTGTATTAGTTTTAGTTTATTTTTATTTTATGTTTTTTGTACATTTTTTTCTTCTTTCTTCAATTTTCATGCGATATCATGATCACTGAGGTAGATTTGCTAACGTTCCAAACCTAAAATTGATATTTTGTTTGCAAATTTTTTTTTTTATAATGATAGTGAGTATATCAATATGGGTGACCGTGTAGTTATTAGAGGTGAGGAAAACCCTACTCTCGGAACATTGAAAGACTATTTGCATCCAACTTGTGTTTCATCTCCATGCATTGTTTTCCTTTTAGTCTGCAAAATTATGAATTTAAATATGGAATGGTTCATCTTTTTCCTATTTTTCGTGGTTTGGAGAATTAAGATCCGTATGTGCATGTTAGGGAATATGAGGATGGCGTTTGCATTTTTTATAATATTGCACCTGATCAATTTGATGGAGTGAGATTAATGTTTTTTTCCATTTTTGTTGAAAGACAAAGGAAAAAATTGGTAAACATCGAGCAATATTTGAGCAAACCATAAATTTCCAAATATTATGTCAACGATCCAAACTGTTCATCTTTCGCATCACACTAAAAGATGATACTTTGAAAATAGAATTACTGAAAATCCCTTACGGCGATCCTTGATCAAAGCGTAAATGAAAACAACAAACCGATGGTTATTATTGATCACTGGCGACTTTGCATTATGGGTACATGTTTTCGAATTCCATCCTGCACGAAAGTACGACCGTTTCTAATTATTTTTTTCCAATTTTTCCCAACTATAAATTAATTAATATTGTTTTTCAATTTTTTGCCCTTCTAAGTGAAAACACTATTCATAGTTGTTCCGATCCTTTTATAAACCCATTTTACCATATCAACCAGATCATATTGTACAAGATGTCATCTCGAGTGTCTTCGTAATTATTTTTTTTTGATATTTTTCACAATTGGAAAATTTTTATTATCAATTTTCATTTAAAAAAAATCATGTATTGCACATTTAACTCCACGTGGCAAACCCCTCACGTTGGAAAATATCAGGTGGCATTACGGTGGAGGGAGATAATGTGTGAGGATGCATATTAAAAGGTGGGGGCAAATCTGAGCCACCCACGTGGTCAATCTAGAGGTTGGCAAAGGAAAGGGGTGCATTTTATTAAACTTTTGGACTTCTTAACAGACACCTAATGATAGGCAGCCACGTGTCCAAACTAATGGTTTTCAGCTGGGATTTTTTTTTCCCATGGTTTAGGATTTTTTGGTCATAACGTTTCACAAGCCATCATCATAAACACCCATGTTGGGAACACGCATGGTGAGAATAACTACCATGATCGTCACCCTTTCGCATGGAGACCTTTCATGTTCTTTTGCAAGTCACTATAACCCTATATTTAGTGGTGGTTTACATTTGTCCCTCTTCACATAACCACACTTGCTCTAACTTCATTGAAAACCCAACTTGCAAATTGCAAGTTACTCTTTCACGATTTCAATTGCTCAAAACTTTCCAGTTTTTGTAACTTCTTCCTATCTCAAAGATCAATCTTGATACCCAAACTTGCTCCGTGGGCAAGGTCATACATGACGTCATTTGATCAGAAGGTGTTCAAGAAAGCCAAAAGTGGCGAGGTCATACACGACGTCGTTTGATCAAGGTGTTAAAAAAGCCTTCTTTGTGGACCATTTCGGATGGGGTTGGTTTGTGTTGGAGTTCAACGACAAGGATGAAGTGGATTACATCTTGGAGGAACGTCCTTGGTATCTGATGGGCTAGATTTTCCACTTAGAAAGGTGTATGGAAGAATTTAGGAAATTAAACCCTATATCTTACTTAAGGATATACGTTAAAATTCCTCGAATACCAATGCAATATAAGGAGGTGGACATCTTGAAGAATATCATTAAATGCATCGACTAGCTTGTGAGGTTTGATGACCCTTCTATCCTTGAATGGAATGGCTATAAGGGTGTTACCAAAAGTGGATGTTTGTCTCCCCCTTAAGCGGGTCTTGGTGGTGAACGGGGAGGATGACTTACGAACCTTCCTTAGTTATGAAGGTTTGTTTGAGGTTTGCTTCTACTGTGGGAGGAGAACAATAGAGAAATGGGAATGTGAAGTCGATGAGTTGGATGCCAGTTGGTTTCTGGTCAACAAGATGTTCGCCGATGAGCTAAACATGCTGCCAAATGGTTTGAAAGATGATTACTTGACTTTAGGGAACCTTGAGGATGATCTCACCTTTTGTTTCCCTCAACTAGCAAGGGTTGTCACAAATGGTGCAAAGTCCATATTGGGTCCGGAGGACTCCAAGAGGACTGTCACTCATTTTTTTAGGGCTCATCCGAGAAAAAGAAGAAGAGATAATGAAGGTGAAGGTGCAGGTGTGAGTGATGGCGTGGGTGAAAATAATTGATGAAGGTTGATGAAGTGATGAAGTGTGGCTGTTTAAGCAATTTAGATTTAATTTATCATGTTTTAATTAATGTTTTAATTTTCTTGTGTTATGTTAGATGGTTTTTATGTTTAAGAAGGTTAGTTTTAAAGTTATAATGTTTATGTTTCGATGGTTGGTTGTAATTTATGTTTCTATTGTCGTAAGTACTGTTTCAAAGGGTATTTACTTTGTCAGATTCAGTTTCACTATCTCATATTATTTGTGCATGACCCTTTCCTTGTACTCGAACTTGCACTCATTACTTTCATTCGTCAGAAAAATCATAATACATTACGGTTCCCAAATATCCATAACCCATAAGGATGGTTTCATAAACTGTCACAACCTTTCATAACGGGTGGTTTGAAAGCATCCCAAACTCATTGAATTCATCCACAACAAGTAAAAAAATGGAGAACTAATTTTTGTTTACTTTACAATTTATTTTGTCAAATTTAGTTTCACTATCTTGTATTACTTATGCATGACCCTTTCCTAGTACTTGAACTTACACTCGTTACTTTCATTGTCAGAAAAATCTTAACACATTATAGTTCACAAATTTTCATAATACATAAGGATGGTTTCATAAACTGTCATAGCCTTCCACAACACATAACAGGTGTTTGAAAAATTGTCTTTGAAATCCATTAAACTTAACTCATCCATAACCAAAAATAATTTGAAAGGAGATAATGAAAGCATCTCCACACCCATTAATTTCACCCACAACAAGTAAAAAAATGGACAAATAATGTAACATCATCCACAATGAAACACTAAGACAACAAATTATATTCATCCCAACTAATGAAACCTATTTGAACAAAATAAAAATTTATCCGCCACCACATATTCAAAATATACTACTTGTTTTATCGACTACCATTGTTCTTCACCGGTTACTCTTCACTAAATAGATTACTCAGACAACCAATCAATCATCCAACGCTCCCTAGACACTGTGAACTCGATGCAACATATCAACTACCATTTTCATTCAAAATGTAAGGACGTTATCCGGCGTAATAACATTGAGAGGAAGGCCAACAGACAAGAACTCTATCACTTTTAAAGTGAAAATCCTGCAATCCCCCCTGTACCACCAATAAGTTTTAGAAACAATTTACACTCAATGCAATCATTTAACTAACTAACAATTCAATAAATTTTGGACTCACCAGTTATCTTGCTATGGAACCCTTTGACTTACAATGATGGACCAAGGTTCGACTTTCACCCCCCTCATCATGCTTTGGAGGACATTGGGCAACAGATAAAAGATTAGAGCCAATTTCGTCATTGCTTTTCAAGTGTGGGTTTTTTATGTCAAGAAGTCGTACCCAATGATTCTTGAAGCTTTCAAGTTCTTCTCGACAACAACTTAATGGTGATTGACATTGAAGGGCATGTACTTCCTCTTAACGTTGATCAACCATGATGTAGAAAATGGCTATCCCTCCCCCTTCACCATTTTCTAAAGGACATGTAACAATGGAGTGGACGATTTGGGTTTCTGGTCTCTGGTTGTTCTTTAAGTTGTCCCCACAGTGTAGTCGTGCTCAAAGTACAATTGTCCATAGTCAAAGTATATATTATAAGACATGTACAACACTTCTAATGCCCAAAATCACAATCGACATAAGAATTGCACAAATTTACATAATTAGTAGAAATTTTACTGGATAGTTTACCAGAAACCAATCAGTTGTGTTGGTGCTCAACACTATCCCTACCCTTCAAGCCTCTTCGAAATGTTTCTGGAGAAGATACAGTCACAAATGAATGTGCTGCGATACATAATTTTTAATTAAACTTTGATACCAACGCAATCCCAACACAACGGAAA